GGTACAGTGTTCTATTTTTGTATTTTTGCAATTACTTTGAAACACGATATCTCAATGTGATAAATCATTTATCAGTTATCCCAGTTTGAAACGCGATATCTCAATGTAATAATTGCGTAACCTATATTTATTATGATTTATTTTTCTGTACAACAATAAATTAAATTTCTTTTTGATTTGCCTGTATTGATTTTTTATTTTATTTTAGAAATACATCTCAATAATTTATAGACGTATTTATTTCCTTGTCCACTCTAGTGCCCTAGGTCCGAGAAAATGTTAGGTTAGGTGAAGTTGCCCTAAGGTTTCATGTTTAAAAATATATACAAACAATTTTGTTATATGGGTATTTTCATATCCAGTGGTCTAGGTCAAGTTTCTGTTAGAGGTTTTTTTTTTTAAATCTTAAAATATTCACGGATTCACTTCTACGCATGCGCACTTCATGAACTCAAACTAATAGATCGCAATGATCGCAAAGGCGAACGTAACGTAACGTAACAGACACAACGTCCATGAAAGTGTTCGATTTGTCCACAAGTTTTTTCCAACCTGACGTTTTTGCTAGCGGTGTCTTTAGCATGAGTGTATGTACAGAAGCGTGTTTCATGTGCAGATTTTGTAATGTGTGTGTGTAATTTGTGTGTTAATTGGAAAAAAGGGAAAGAGTAATATGTTCATTAATTTTACAATCTATACTCGGTTTTAAATCATCAATAGATTTATATGAATTTCTTAAAAGATTTCCATCAAATCATCAATCCACAAGCATATTATTCTTGTAATAAATTTCATATAAATGTATAAACGACTATATAAAATATTAAGTCTAAATTTGGCTTCTAAACATAACTCTTACCTCTAATTCCTTCTAAAAAGATGAAAGATATGGTATATGTTAAATGCATACCTATGTACTAACATATATATATATATTTACAAAATTTATATTTAAATAAATATTGCGTTTATTTTTGTATTTCAAGGTCAAATACATGAATTCGTTTCATTTGTTACTTCATTGAAGATATGAGATACTCGAATCCATGCGACTTGATATTCTCTCATCGTACATCTTCTATCAGTTCTTAAAATGACTGCACTTAATTATGCTTAAAGTTAAGTAAAAATGTTTACATTTTTACACACAAATGTTTACATTTTTACTACATAAATCTCATTAAATAAATTGAATTTGTTATAAAGCAAATTTGTAATATTAAATTTCTGTTTATATTCGTTTATTTTTATTTTCTTTGCAGATTTGGAATACATTTGATATATGATTTAGAAGACTATCTCAGATAAGGCTATTTCGTTAATAGGAAATACTCAAAACTGAACTTAACGATCGAACTGAGTGTTATCCAAGGATTAAACTTAATTATATAACTTATACCGTTGCGTTGTTAAATTTCACAGTAACATTGACTTTCCTAAATTTCAAAATGTTTATGTTATTTCCGTTGAGCAATTTTGTTATGTAGATGCTCGAGTCTGTGTAAATAACAGAGATAAGTATAAATGAACACTGATAAGATTTAAAGCATTGTATATAAATAAGTTACATTATAATGCTTCGTGTACTTCTATTTTTTGTCGGTTTCGGCGCCGTTCATTCGGTGAATATCTTAGGGTATTTCCTCACGCCTTCATACAGCCACCAAATTACTTTCCAACCCATCTGGAGGGAATTATCGTTGCGCGGACACAAAGTCACCGTGGTCACGCCGCATCCGCTGAAGGATGAATCTCTAGTCAATTTAACGGAGATCGATATTGGAGAGGTGTCCCAGGAGATCTGGAAGGATGGGGGCATGTCGACGCAGGGTACGAGGGAGCAGGAAGCAGGTTTTGGACAAATCCAAAAAGTTTTTGATCTTGCGCTGAAGATCATGGACGCGCAAATGTCGCAACCTGCGTTCGCGGAGATCATTTCGAACAAGAAGAATGAAACTTTCGATTTGGTTCTCGTCGAATATTTGTCTGTTAACGGTTTCCCTCTCAAGCACGTGTACAATTGCCCTCTGGTAGGAATATCTTCGATGCCGTTGATGAATATAGGTCACGACGCGATCGGCAATCCTAGCCATCCGGTCTTAAGTCCCGACTTGACTTTGCCCTTTAGCGAAGACCTCACCTTCGTCGAGCGCCTCTTAAGCGTAATCTACTCCGTGATCAGCAGGCTGTTCGTAATAAGATTCGTTGAACCCTTGAATAAACTAATGCGAAAGTTTTATGGGGAAGACGTTAAAAGTTCATTAGAACTTATATACGACATGGATCTCGTTCTCGCCAACATAAATCCAATTCTGAATCCGGCGAGACCAAATATTCCAACCCTCATCGAATTCCATGGCATTCACATCAAACCCGAGCAGAAATTACCCAAAGTAAGTTGACAACAAACAAAGTGTAATAAGCATTTAAGAAAAGAAAAAATAATGAGAAATAATAATCAAGGATCTGGACACGCTGCTAAACAATTCAAATGAATCTTCAATCATTTACATGAGCTTTGGATCAAATATTAAAAGCAGTTTATTCCCGGAGGATAAAATCAAAATTATTCTGGAAACTATCGCAGAACTACCACATTTAGTTCTCTGGAAATACGAAGCAGAAAATTTACCAAATAAACCGAATAATCTCGTGATCAGAAAGTGGTTTCCCCAACAGGACATATTAAGTAAACAATTAATAATAATAATTCTTAATCTTAAATTTATCTTTCCACTCGTATACTAGGACATCACAAAGTGAAACTGTTTATAACCCAAGGAGGAATGCAATCTTTGGATGAGGCCATGTACACTAAAACGCCGGTAGTCGTCATCCCATTCTTCGGCGATCAATTTTCGAATGCAAGGAAAGTGGAGAAAATCGGTTTCGGAAAATCCCTCAATTTCCTTAGTCTCAACAAAGCCGATTTCAAGAATACAATATTAGATGTTTTGATGCCGAAGTAGTGTAATTCAACGAAATTTTCAAAGAACTTTTTAAATTATTTAATTTTCAGTTACGAGTCGAAGACCAAAGAGCTGCACGACCTGTTAGTTGATCAACCTTTTGGATCGCTGGAGAAGGTGATTTGGTGGATTGAGTATGTCATTAGGCATAAACAAGTTACGCATCTGAAGAGTCCTGCGCTTAAGGTGCCATGGTATATTATTCTATATTTGGATATAATCGGATTTTTTGCCGTATGTTTAATGGCAATCGTCATATTGATGATATTTGCAAAACGATTGATTGTATCGTTATGTTGTAGAAGAAAGATGAAAGAAGATTGAAACATTTATATTGTGAGAATGTTTTCTGCTTAAATCAACTAAATTAAAATATTGACCTGTAATGTTAATGTGTGAGGTCATTGAGCAAAAATATGGGCATTCAGCCAGAAAATTAAACTTTGAAAATGATATAATATTTCACAAATAAGTTGGAAAAATAACGTCTTCGAAAATAACCTGTATTTTCGTAAACACCAACTCTCAGAAGAGTATTAATGTTGATCTGTAATATAGATTATACATTAAAATGAGTGTAAAAACAGGCTTGTAGGTAACATAGCTTGGTCACAATTAATTATCAAACTTTGGTATTAGACAGTTTGGAAAACAATGTTTTCGAAAATAGCCTGTATTTTCTTAAACACATGCTTCTGATGAAAATATAGATTGATAGTTATATAAAATACTTTTAGTCTCTTTGTAAGGATCATATAGGAAGCAAGGTTCATAGTTGTTATCCATCTTCCAATATTTTTGGTCACTTTCAGCAGTTAAGGTTTCCACCATATGCAAATGAAAACTGCTAATAAATAATGCTTTCCACTTTCTGGAAAACTTAACTATACATTAGAGGAATGTTGTTATCAGCTCCACCTAAAATAATAACAATTGTACCAATGATTGTTTACAAGTTGACTAATTACCATATGTCTATTAACAATGAATACACATTCTTATATGAAGACACTGATTCAGTATGTTTCTTATAAAAAGATTTTAAGTATTGTCCCTAGGTAGCTGCAGTTGCTGTTGTATGTTTTCTGAAGACAAGCAACTTTATTGATCAATGATTGTTTACATGTTTCATTGGTACTTGCCCGAAGTGAAATGTTAAGTAAATTTCAAAATCTGAGTCTCCTGGTGCAAACTTGCGTTTTGATTAGCGAAAACCGCCAAGTCATTATTAAAGCTTAATAACTTTCTTATTTAATGACCAAAATTAACGTATTTGATACCAAACGAAAGTAAAAGAATTATTCTTTAACACAGTAAATTAAAATTTTCTAATATATATGAATATAACCATTTATTTAACTATTTTTTTATACCTTCACGTTTTTTTTAAATTAATCGATTACCACTTGTGCTAATTAAACCATCAGATACGCAAATTAAACCTTTTCAATGAGCTAACTGCCGGAATTGTAGTTTGGTCAGTACATCTACTATAAGTTATCAAAATAAAACATTTTAATTTCATTCTCAATCCAATTTGACGAGATAATTACATTATCGACCACACAATTAATTTAAAGCTGAATAGCTCACTTTTCCAACAAGTCTATTGGCATCTTCGTGCAAGTCACCAGCTACGAGTTGTAGAAATTTGAAAAAAAAAAGTGAATAGGATTTTCTTAAAAATCGCTATTTTGCACGTGCTTTTCTTAATTACACGAAAATTATGTAACTTTTGTTGCATTTTATGATTACGTAAGATGGGCAGACCAATGGCTCGTTACCGCATAGGCGCACTCCCAGGGCCTCTTAAATTAAGGGGCTTCCAAATCGTCATAAAAAAAACGTTATGATTTTCTTAGTAGGGTCATTATGGCCTCCAAATCAGGTTGCACCTAATGGCTCACAAAGTTATGATGTGTATTGTGAAATAAATAAAACAAACAATAATAATGATTGTACTTAGTGTATTTATATTT